CACCCTCTTTTATCTCCACCCACCCACTCAGTCTTCATACTGCTGTTCACATTCATGAGTCCTTTTTCTGTTTTGCCCAATTCTTTACCCTCCAGCCTTCTGCCCCCCATAGCTGTCTCTGCCCCCGAGAACTGTCCCCCCCCAGCATTCTCTCTATCTACGAGTCTGACTTGCTCATTAGTTCAGTTTGTTCATTATATTCCACATATGAGTGAAATCATGACTGGCCTATTTCACTTAGCATAATGGTACATTTACACAGTGGAATACTACTTAGCCATAAAAAAGGTATATTTTACCCTTTGTGACAGCATGGATGGATCTAGAGAACACAGTAGTTTTGAAAACTATTATTTACTATTTCATAATAGCACAGTAAATTATTGTTACAAATTCTCCTGCAGGTGATTAATATGCACATTCCTTTTCTGAGAAGAAGCATAGTAAGTGAAAACCCACTTCACCTACACGAAGGAAAGGGAGCCACAGATTTTGGGGAGACAGTTCCCTGTCCAAAAAACTGAGTCGCACCTGCTTCGGATGCACCTGCTGTTCCCTCGTTCTGGTTCTGCAGGGCAGACAGCTCCTGGCAGCACTTACCCGTGAGACAGCGGGCCTCCAGCTGTCTGCTGTGCCCTCACAGTAACAGGTCACATGGGTAAATATTAAGTCGAGGCACATGATTTTTTATGGCTTTTTTATTTTTAGTCACATCCAGGTATCAGAAAATGAGAGTCAACATGTTTTTCAGGTGCTGGATTGTTTGATTTTTTTGGTTGTTTAATCTTTATTGGTAACTTTTTCCATTACCATTTAGTCCCCTTATGTCCCCTGCCCCTCAGCTTTGTTTGATTTTTAAAGATAACATCATCTTAAAATATTTGTAGTGTAGTTTGTAGCAATTTGGTTTTTGGCCTTTGAAATTTAGTCATGTGTGTTTTAAGTGTGGTAGTGATCTGAGCTTTGTTGAAGGAACATAGCTACCTCTACACATTTTTATTGCTGAGTTCATACTATATTATATGTCATAGCAAAATTATTTCAGTCTCATTAAAAATTCTGCGGATGGGTTAATGGCTGAATAATCTTTCATCATATAGATGTACCCAAATTACCCATTATAGTAATTTGGCCATTTAGAATGCTTACATTTTTGCCTGTTACAAATAAAAATATGATGAGCATATTTTTCATATGATTTTGTCCTCATATTTGATTTTTTTCCAGAGATCACTTTACTACAATGGTTCAGGGGGCATCGGAGAAATAAAGTTATGGAAAGTTTTAACTATCAATGCACCAAAAAAAAGAGAGAAGAAAATGAGTTGCACTGTGGGCTCTAATGTGGCTTTTATGTAAAACTTTCCTTCTTGCAATTCTAATACTTACCATGAAACCAAATAAAGAGAGTAGTGCTAGGCACAAGTACTGAGGCTGGATTATCTGGGTTGTACATGCAGTTTGCCACTAAGTCACTGGGACAAATATCTCAAACTCTTTATCCCTCAGTTTCCTCATAGATGAAATGGTAATAATAAAATAATAATAGTCCCTGTCTCTTGGGGTCATTCTAAGAATTAAATATTGTGAGAATTAATTTATGTAAATCTCTTGAAAACATGCCTGACACAGAGTAAATGCTCACTAAATGTTTATATGTATAGCACCTAAGAAAATGTTTTCTAATTTTATATTCTTAAAAGTTATTCTTTTGTTTCCAATCCCATTGCATCTCAAATACTAGAGTCGCTTAAAGTCTTTCTTCATCAGACTGTCCCATACCTGCAAATACATGCATGGGATGTGCTCTTTTTTAAGGTTTCTGGGATTGTTAGTATTTTAGTTGTACACAGAAAGCACACAGATCCTTATCTCAAATAGCCAGGGCCAGAATTCTTCTGAACAAAATGTTTTTCATAGATGGTTTTGGGTCTTTTAGATTTTTCACCCTCAAGCACAAAAGTTATCATGAAGAAAACACTAACATAAAGAAGCAAAGTGTGGTATGAATTAGGGGTTCTCTTCGGCTGAAAGAGGGGGCTTGTCACCCAGCCAGAATCCAAACCAGTAGCCATATTCCTGCCACAGCCACACATTATGAGAAGGCTGCAGATGGTCTTTCAGACACATTCACTCCATTGATTACAGAGCAATAAGGCTCTTGGCCCAATTCGTAGTCCCTGCCCAACATGAGCCTCATGATGCACTAGTGACATTGGCCTAGACATGGCAGGCCTAACTAAGTGCCCTGCTTGGCCCGTTCCCGCTAAAAGTTGATCTTGACCCATTACATCTTAACATGCCAATGGCCAAAAAAAAAGGAGGATGAACTAGAAGAAAAATATATCAAGAGAGGAGTTGACTCAATACAGATTTCTTCTTGCTATCCTTAAAACAGGGTTTTTCAGCTTCGGCTCCACTGACATATTGAGCCAAATAATTTTTTTCGTGGTAAGCTGTCCTGTTAATTGTAGAATGTTTAGTCACATCCCTGGCCTCTGCCTGCCAGATTCCAATAGCACACTTCTTCACTCCCGTCAACGACAACCCAAAATGTCTACGGACAAAATTGGCTTCAAGTGAGAACTACTGCTTTAAAGTCACACTACAATTACATGTTCCTTGTCCCCTTGGGCTCGGCTGGCTGGTGTCCCAGTCCTCCTCAGAGACTTCTGTGATGAAAGGGGCCTTGAGCACCACCTCCCAGTTCACCACTACACTATAGGCAGCCTGAAGTGGACACTCAGAAGCATACAAATAAAACTATCCCCTCTTTAAGGCCAAGGCTAAAATCATGTATTCCTAAAAACCTCAATCCTAGATATAGTAAAGAAAATGATATCTTTCTCTCAATGTTAATACATTACTGAAGTTAATTGTATCACTGATATAGCAGGGTTTAAAATCACTTTTTTTCCTAATAATTTCTATAGTGAAAATGTAGAGTCATCAAGGTACATCTTCAAGAATATTTCATTAATCACCTTTAAAAATGTACATTCCCTTAAAAATATGTGTATATATTCCACACCTATAACAGTCTCAGAGTTACTGAGCTACTTTTTTCCTGGCAAACTTTATAAATAACCCATAAGCTTTATGTCATATTTTCAGGTTCTGTGAACAAGCTCAATTCTTTACTACTTTGGTATATATTAATAATGAGTACATGTTATAAAATATATAATATTTATGGTTAATGAAAATCACATCTAAGTTATTTCTGTAGAAATTAAATTATCACTGAAATACACTTAGATTGATGTAACCTGGCAAATGGAATCACCTGCAGTACTCTATGAACTATAGTTAGTTTATAATTTCTAAAAATTGTTTTTTGGGTTTCCTTGGTTTTCATGAGCTTATGAATGCCCTGTATAGCAATGCAACCGAACTGTTAATTGGTAATAATCAGATTTGGGCAGATTTTATATGACAACAAAATGAAAGCTAGCTTTTTTCTTTATTTTTTTTTTTACTTTATTTGTTTTTAGAGAGGGGAAGGGAGGGAGAAATAGAGGGAGAGAAATATCAGTGTGGGGTTGCCTCTCAAGTGCCCTCTACTGGGGACCTAGGCCTGCCCTGACTGGGAATTGAACCAGGAACCCTTTGGTTCACAGGCCGATGCTCAATCCACTGAGCCACACCAGCCAGGATTGAAAGCTAGTTTTTATTGCATATTTGCTTTGTGCTAAGTTTAACTCTCTTCTAAATTATCTTTATATATTATTTTTATGTAATCCTCCTAGAGATATGAATTTTTATATATGTACATACATGATTGTCCCCTGATTATCCTAACCTCTTGATCAGTCAGTATCTTGGGAATATCTTGTCATTGAAACTTGTGTTGTGTGACAGTATGTACTAATGGGTTCAAAATGTTGCTAGACTTTATCGTAAAATGTTAAAAATGATAACAAAGAAGAGGAAGAAAGGGCAGGGGTAGAAGAGGAACCTCGAGAAGATGAGGCTGTAATCTGTCTCCAGAGATCTAGTTGAGGGCATGTAATCTAGAAAATTAGCATAATCATGAATGAAGGTTAAGGTAGCAGATGGCATGTTATCAAGTGTAGATGGTGCTACAGGGATTCAAAGTAGAGAGAGCTCATTAAGACCTGAGGTGAGTTGGAGAAGCTGTATGGGTGGTAGATTGTTATCTCAACTTCAAAGAAAGTTAGGGTTTGGTTTGCCCTTATGCAAACCATGAGTGGCCAGTGATGGCCTGATGACCTGCCAGGTGGAAAAACCAGCATCCTAGATAAGAGTTGATTCAAAGGTTTGAAATTCTTCTATAATTCCAACATGATTTATGTACATTTTAAGGAAAAGAGTATTGGTTGCATTCACATTCTTTATAGTGTAGAATGAGAGAACATGAGGGTATTTCTGGTGTGGGAGGGAGCACATAACCTCAGATGTGAGAAGTTTGTACACCCAGTATTTGGTGCTTGCGTTGCCCATGATTACAATAGAAATTATTAACAAATTGATGTGTAGTTTGCTTGTTGGTAGAAAATATGTCTAGGCATATTTCTGACATTGGCATTCTTTACTCAGTGGTTCTCTGTATTTTTTTTCTGCCTCTTTGTGTTTTATTTCCTCCATTCCAGGTTACAATCTGATATACTCTCATAATCTCTTATTATATAGAATGATTATTCTAAGGAGTGTTAGGCCTGAGAAGATTTGTATCAGAATGCCAGAGAGGAGTGTGGGCTACATACGGTTTGAAAGTTCCCCTTGGAAATATTGGTATCTCCCATGTATTTAGCTAATAGGGGAGATACCATGATCACAACATATTGGTATCTCCCCTTCACTGTGCTCTTTGCTATATAAGAATTTTTATATGTATTTTAAAATCCATACCACATTGATATTTTTGGAGTGTTAATACATTAAATTATTAGTAAATTTAAATTATCTCCAGTAACTTAATTTGAAAGATGTTTTAATTCCTCTCTCTCACTGTCTCTCTTTTGAATTTTATTTTCTAGATCCCAAAGTCCAAGAGTGAGGGATCTATTCAGGTGTACAGGGTACCACAACCAGAGCTGTCTGATGGTGTTCCTCGGGTCAGCCTGCGGCTCAGTCACAGAAAACCCTGCTGGGATGGCATGAATTCAGCAGAGGACGTTTGCGGGGCCAAGTTGGTGTCCAGGTTGGCATGTTTGCTTTGTTTACATGTTACATATTGCATTCTCTCCTCTGAAGTACAGGCCCAGATATGTAGATATGTTTGTATTTATTACCACTGCGGTCAACAGGATGCTGATCAGTCAAACTATTTAAGATTCACTCTAAGATTTGAGAATATTCTGACTAATGGTTACCACAGAAGCATTCCTGATTTGTTATTTTTTATTTCTATATTAAAACAAATTATGGCCCCAACTGGTGTGGCTCAGTGGGTTGGGCATAATGCCACAAACCTAGGGGTCACCAGTTCAATTCCCTGTCAGGGCACAGGCCGGGGTTGCTGGCTGGGTCCCCAGTTGAGGAAGTACAAAGGACAACTGATCGATGTTTCTCTTGTACATCAATGTTTCTCTCCCTCCCTTTCTCCCTTTCTTCCTCTCCTCTAAAAATAAATAAATAAAATTTTATAGAAAAAACAAATTATATAATCAATCGGAACATGCTAGACACTCAAATAAAAGTTGGAAGTTATGCCTTTTCACAGTATGTTCAGTGGCCAATATTATCTACAATTAGAGTGGACATCAGAGTTGTTACTGGAACCCCCTCTCACTAACAGATTTGGAATGTTGCCTTTTAACCATTGTGTTGCACAGAACAAACTACTTTGGTATACTTGAAGAAAAAGGCATGCAATTTTTAAAAAATGAGTAAAATGGAGTCTGAATCTCATTTACTCACAGCGTAAAGAATTCTCTGTTTTAAGAATGTTTTTATTTCTTATAACTTAAAACCTGTTTCTGACATTTAAAAAATTTCATTAAAAGACAGGGAGCTCTAAAGAATTGAAAGATATTTAAGACATTAAATAGGTAAATAATATAGTTAAAGAGCTTACCACTTTGGATTGCCTTATAGAAAAGATGGAGTTTTCATTGGATTTAAAAGATGAAGATAAATTAAATTGGGAGAAAAAGAAGACAAGGCTCTTATAGATAGGCCTAGTTAGAAAGCACGGTAGATGTTCCAGAAATATCGGACAGGTGCCACATAAGGAATTATCCAGGGATAGCCTGGGAAAGTAAAGTAAGGCCTGGCCATCAAGGACCTTAAATAGCAGCCGGAATTATTGTTATATTCGGTCTTCACGGAACAGATGTTCGGCACTTGCCTTCTGGTCCCTGGAGTGCTGTAGGCATGGGATGCAGCGCTGTACCAAGCCAGCCAGGCCCTTGTGCTTATGGCCCTTACATTCTGATGAAGGAGGTAATAGCAAGACATTTAGAAAAAATTTTAAAAAGCCCATGAAAAGAGTCATTTTAGCTTTGATAAATGGGGGCATTGAGAAACTAAAGCAGGTTCATGCAACAGACTAACTGAAAGACAAGTAGTTTCGTCTGAGTAGTCAGGGGAGGCCTGGACTGAGACATCAAGGGGGAGGAGGAGGAGCAAGTCCGTAAAGATCAAAGAAGAGCAAAAGAACTAAGATAAGGAAACTGGGCGTCAGCCTCCAGGTAATGGGACACCAATAAGATTTTCAGCTGGGGAGGAATCTGTGATGGGAACCACGGTAAGTTGGTATATCAGAAAAAGTAGCCTTCCATCATAGCATGGAGGTCTGTTGGAAGAGCCAGAGTTTGGAAGTGGTTATATTGTTGGTTCCTTCAACAGTTGCTACTTCTTATCTGATCGAGTTAGTTGGTACTTACTTGCTGGTTGCTGGGGATTCAGAGGAGAGACATAGGTCCTGTGTTTCGGGGGACAGAGAACAAGTGAATAGAAATTCAATAATTATCATTAAATACACATTTAGTAAGTGCCTATCATGTACCCCATATTAAGGAGTTTACATTTTCTCTTTAAGATGATGAGGAGTGATGGAAGAAATATACACAGGAAGATAATATAAACAGACTTGTATTTTAGAAAAGATCCTGTGGCAACTATGCAGAAAGAAAGATTAAGAGACGTGTAAGAGGTACTGAGAGCAACAACGAGGCCAGGAGACAATCCAGTGCAAACTGAGAGACCCGGCAAACTCATTGCCATCCCTGAGGACAAGATATGGACAAGTCTGTGTGCCCTTCGTGAGGAAAGGGAGAGACAGGCTCTTGCTTACAGGAGTTTTAGGGTTGGGTTGTTTGTTTTGCTTCACTTGGGGTATTATAATAGTACTTTAATGAATGAGATGTATGCAAGTTTGTAAACATAACAGGTAGTGTTCCTGGAGAGAAAGAAGCTGATGTTACAGGGCAGAAAATAATAGGACAAGGACCTCCAGCACAGAATCCAGAGACCAAGAAGTGACTCCCTGAGTAAGGCAAATGGGCACCTTGTACACAGTGAGGGTGTCTTCACATCTTAGCCTCTGTGAATGAGGGGGCTCCTGACCTTGGGCAGTAGGCAGTGGAAGAACAAGGCTGTTCCTCAAAGAAAGGTGTGACCAGCAGAAGAACTAGCCTTGGTTAATGAGGAACACTTCAGAAAAGAATAAGGGGCACAGATACAAAACACTGGGACTTTTTAATGTTTCCTTCTCTAGTTTAAAAACCAGGGTCAAACAGCTGGCTAACAAGAACATGTGTAGATGTTATCTTCCCAAATTAGTTTTTAAAGAATTATACCAAAATGCCTGAAGTTAGATAATGAAAAGAAAAATTCAAATGTTCGTTGCTTATACCTTTATTCTTACTCATTGAGTTGGAAAAGCAAAAAAGTTTCCTGCTTCTAAACGTAACAAGAAAGGAGCTTCCTGTTTGAAGAATGAGATACAAACCAAGTGCTTCTGAGATACAAGTCAAGTGAGATTATAGAGAGAAGGCTCCGCTAACTTTCCTCTAGCCACTCTTTGTTCCTCTGGTCAGCATATGCCAGTTCAAACAAATGCCTATTAATGTTTTTGAATTTCCTGTATACTTAGCAAGTTTTTTAAAGTACAGCCCTGAAGGACTGACTCCATCACACTCAGCAACCTTGCAGGTTCAAATGGAACAACAAACCTTGCTATCTGCCATCAAGCAGCACAACTTCTTGCCTCTACCGAAATCAATAGTATCTGTTCAGAGATTTTTACTTTTTACTTTTTGTGTACCTGTCAATAGATTGTGATACAAATCATCAAAAGACAAGTGGAGATAATTAAAATAACTTAACTAAAAATAAGTTTTAAATCATTTATATATCTTTGAAGTAACAGAATAGACATTGTGCCAATTTCCATTTCAAAAATGAACATATGAAGCTGTTTTCATTTACAGTTACTTTCCAGAACAAGGTATTTGTTAGTTTATAAATTTTAAATAGATAAAAATAGTGTGTGTTTTGCATGTACATGAACAACATGTTTCTCTAAATCTTTTCTTTAGGTAAGATTCCACTTTTTAACAGTTTATTAGTTGCCCTGGTCTTAAACACACAGGCTGGCAGTGTGTGTGAGGTGTATTATTATGCCCCTCTGCTCTAATACAATATGTACTTTGGCTTACCAACTTTGTTTCAAACGATTGTCAAGCTATTAGCTACTGATTTTAATTTATTTTTTAATTATATTTTATTGATTATGCTATTACAGTTGTCCCAGTTTTCCCCCTTTGTCCTCCTCAACCCAGCACCCTCCACTCCCTCAGGCAAGCCCCAGGCCATTGTTCATGTCCATGGGTCATGCATAGGTTCTTTGGCTTCTCCATTTGCTATACTGTACTTTACATCCCATGGCTATTCTGTAACTACATATTTTGTACCTCTTAGTCCCCTCCTCTCTTTACCCATTCTCCCCATACCCAATCCCACCAGGTAACCATCAAAACACTCTCCATACCCATGGTTCTGTCTCTGTTCTTGTTGACTTATTTGTTCTTAGATTAAATTGTTGATAGATATATATTTATTGCCATTTAAATTGTTCATAGTTTTGATCTTCTTTTTCTTAAATAAGTCTCTTCAATGTTTCAAATAATGATGGTTTGGGGATGATGAACTCTTTTAGCTCTTGTCTTGGAAGCTCTTTATCTGTCCTTTGATTCTAAATGATAGCTTTGCTGGGTAGAGCACACTTGGCTGTATGTCCCTGCTTTTCATGACTTTGAATATTTCTTGCCAATCCCTTCTAGCCTGCAAACATTTTTTGAGAAATCAGCTAACAGTCTGATGGGAACTCCCCTATAGGTAACTAACTTCTTTTGTCTTGTTCCTTTTAAGATTCTCTCTTTATTTTTAAACTTTGACATTTTAATTATGATGTGTCTTGGAGTGGGCCTCCTTGCATCCATCTTGTTTGGGACTCCCTGTGCTTCCTGGACTTGCATGTCTATTTGTTCACCAAATTAGGGAAGTTTTCTTTCATTATTTTTTCAAATAGATTTCTAATTTATTGCTCTTTCTGTTCTCTTTCTGGCACCCCTATGATTCAAGTGATGGAATGCTTGAAGTCCCAGAGGCTGCCTACACTATCCTTGTTTTATTTTGCTTTGTTTTAGATTTGTTTTTCTTCTTGATGTTCTAATTAAATTCTTTTTCCTTGTGTTCCAAATCCTTGATTTGATTCTTGATTTCTTCCACAGTACTATTGTTTCCATATAAATTTTTCTTTATTTTAATTAGTGTATCCTTTGTTTCTGACTATATCTTTCTTATGTTGTTGAGCCCTCACAAAGTTCCTTGAGCATCCTTTATAACCAGTGTTTTGAACACTGCATCTGTTAGATTGCATTTCTCTATTTTGTTTAGTGCTTTTTCCAGAGTTTTGATCTGTTCTTTCATTTGGGCCATGTTTCTTTGTCTCTTCATTTTGGCAACCTCCCTGTGTTTGTTTATATGTGTTAGGCAGAGCTGCTTTGACTCCATGTCTTGGTAGAGTGACCTGATGTAGTAGGTATCATGTGAAGTCCAGTGGAACAGCCACCCCTATCACCCAAGCTGGGTACTCAAGGTACACCCTCTATGTGGGCGGAGTACATACTCTTCTTGTAGTTGAGCCTTGGTTGTTGTTGGCAGATCAGTGGGAGGAATTTACCCAGGCTAGTC